TGCTAAAGATGATTTGCTTACTTTGTGATACTACAATATCAACATTAAAGAAATTCAATGTTCATCAGCATTATAACGCTCATAAGGACCATAAATATTTTCAATTAGAGGGAGAGGTGTGAAAAGTTGTATTGTAGAAATTAAAAGATGAAAAGCAAAAGTAAAGACAATTCTTTCAGGCAGCAATAAGACCTGGAAATAATGCCACTGAAGCAACTTATTAAGTAGCTTACATACTCAGGAAAAAAGTGATGCGGAAATTGTGAAAGAATGCATTGTTGAAGTTGTAGGATGCTTATACCCAATAACATTTTGAAGTACAAACAACTGCCTCTTTCAAGGAACACCATAACTGATAAGCAGCATGAATTAGCCTTCAATGTAACAGATCAACCTCATGCAATATTTCAACAGGAAAATAAACAGTATTTAATTGCTTTGGATGAATCAACTGATACTACTGACTCAATGCAGGTTTTAGACTTCATTTGGGTCATAACAGAAGATTTTCTTTGCTGCAAAGAGTTACTCACTTTGGGCACTCTTGTGGACAGAACATGGGGAATAGATTTTGTCACCAACTTTCAAGATAAATGTCATGAAAGTCGACTGAATTTGGTAAATCTAATGAGTATATTACAGATGGTGCACCTTCCATGACAGGAAAACATGAAGGGTTTGTTGCACAGATTAAGAAAAAGTATTTTTAAAAAAGTATTAACAGATGCAGATGTTCTCATTTCTTTTCATTGTATCCTGCATCAGGAAAATGTGCTAAAGCTATTATTCTAAGTGACACTTTGCAACAAGTTATAAGTATTGTTAACTATATTCATGCAAATGCAACATGGCATCGTCAGTTTTGTAACATGCTAAAGTTGAATGATGAAGTATTCAGTGTAGATTTGCTGTATCATTCTAAAATGCATTGGCTGTCACAGGGGCAAGTGTTAGCTAAAATCTCATCTCTGCAAGAACAGATAGTTAAATTTTATGAAGAACAGAATCAGCAATGTGAATTATTGAAAGAAGATTTCTATTTCTGCATTTCTGTGTGATGTCATGTCAAATCAAAATGACTTGAATATTTCTCTGCAAAGTAACACTAAGTCTAGATATGATATGTGGCAAAAAAAAAAATCCAAACATTTCGAAAAAAGCTATCTTTTTTCAAAACACTTCTTCAAAAGGAAATTTTGGATGAACATTTTCCCAATTAGCAAAGGTCATTGATGAGCAGGATGATATATGTGAATCCTTTGAAGAATATGCAGCTATTATAGACCTATGAATTGGAGAATACAATGAAATATTCACTGACTTGGAGAATCATGACATTACATTCTAATTAGCATTTCAGCCTTTCCTAGTTGATACCAACAAGACACCTAAAGAACTACAGATGGAATTGACTGAACTTTCAGTAGATGACGTTTTAAAGTCATTGTTTGATGCTAAGAAAGATCCAATTGAAATATGGGAAAATGTAGTAGAATGCCCATGTCCTTGGCAACATGCCTGAAAAAATGCTTTCTTGCTTTTCAACCACTTGCTGCTGTGAGTCTACATTCTCCTACCTAACCCGAATCAAGAGGCCCCTAAGGCCACAAATGACTGATACCCATCCAGAGGAGCAACTGAAACTGCAGACCACCATGCTGCAACCAAATATTCAAATTCTTTCCAACAAAAAGCAGACACAACAAAGTCATTAAAAGGTTAGTTAACTTTATAATCAACAAATAGTTTTGAAATTATTACATACATAGTAGCTAAATTTTTACAAAATAATGTATATTTTAAAGTATGTCTAATTGAGGTTTCTTGAATGCAGCTTTATTTGATTACAGCTAAATATTAATGAGGCCTTCCAATATGGAAAGGTTTCTCACACCTGTCTTAGATCATTGTATTACTAAGATGAGCTAAGTCATTCATAGTTGATCATCACATAATGTTGCTGTTACCATATACAATGTTCTCCTGGCTCTGCTCATTTCACTTTGCATCAGTTCATGTAAGTCTTTCTAGGTTTTTCTGAAACCACCCTGCTCGTCATTTCTTGCTGCACAATAGTATTCCTCTACATTCATATACTACAGTTTGTTCAACCATTCCCCAATTGCTGGGCATCCCCTCAATTTCCAATTTTTTGCTGCCACAAAAAGAGCTGCTATAAATATTTTTGTGCATATAGGTCTTTCCCCCTATTTAATGATTTCTTTGGGATCCAGATCTAGTAGTGGTATTGCTGGATGAAAGGGCATACACAGTTTGGTTGCCCTTTGGGCATAGTTCCAAATTCCTCTCCAGAATGGTTGGGTCAGTTTACAATTCTACCAACAGTACATTAGTGTCCCAATTTTCCTGTATCTTCTCTAACATTTATCATTTTCCTTTTCTATACTTTTATAACTTCAAAAGTGAATGGATTAAACAATCCAATAAAATGAAAAAGAGTGGCAGATTGGATAAGAAAACAAAACCCTATGATCAGTTGCTTACAAGAAACACATTTAAATCACAGACATAAAAAACTCCCCAAAACTGAGGTGATAGGAAAAATCCAAAAAACTAGGAGTTGCTATTGTGCCATATATAACAAAGCAAAAACATTTTAAAAATAAAAATGGATAAACAAGGAAATTATATTATGCTGAAAGGAATCATAAACAACAAAGCAATATCAGTAATAAACTTATATGATCTAAATGCCTTAGCATCCAAATTTATAAAGGAAATATTATCTGAGTTTCAAGAGGACATAAAGAGTAGCACAACAGTGACAGGAGACTTCAATATCCCTCTCTCAATGTTAAATAAGTAACAGAAAGATTGGCAAAAGAGAAAATATGGAACTGAAGAAATTTCTGGAGGAACTAAAGTTAAAAGACTTAGGTCATCTTCTAAATTGGACAGCAAAAGAATATACATATTTCTCAGCACCATGTGGAACTTATAGAAAAATTTACCATGTACTAGGGCACAGAAATATTATAAACAAATGTAAAATGGTAGAAATAATTAATATATCCTTTACAGACCATAAAAAGGTAACTATGGGAGGTTATACATCAGTGGTAGGCTGCATAATCAGAGGCAACATGGTTCAGGGGCCCTACCATGGGGCTAATAGTTTAGCAACTCCCTGTAAATTATGTTCTTAGAAAATTTTTTCATTGGATAAGTGACTTGGTCTCCCCTGCTCCTATGCATCAGAGGCAGGATTTTAAAAATCTTCCTAACTCCCTCTATCCTCTATCTGCTCAGTGGCTCTATTTCTTGATTGCATACTCAATACATCATCTGAAGCTGAGATGCAGCAAAGTATAGATCAATTCTCTGCTGCTTGTGCTAATTTTGGCCTAACAATTAATACCGAGGAAACACAGGGGCTCCACCAGCCAGCACCACACCATCCATGTGCGGAATCATCAGCTACAGCAAATGGAGAAGTTTTGAATACTGTGGATAATTTCACTTCCCTTGGCATTGCGAGAGCTAACTCAGTGTTTGGGAGACTACGAAGAAAAGTGTGAAAGAGAAGAGATATTAGACTGCCTACCAAACTGAAAGTCTATAAAGCCATTGTGGTGAACTCATTGTTGCCTGCCTGTGAAACTTAGACAGAATACTACCACCAGGACAGAAAACTGAATTGATCCCATTTATATTAGGAAGATTCTGATGATCACCTGGCAAGTTAAGGTATGAGATACTGAGGTCCCTTCTCAAGCTAAACTGCCAAGCATCCGAACCCTACTGCAAAGAACCCAATTCCAATGGACTGGACACATTGTTTGAAAGCCAAATGTATGTTTGCCTAAAAGACTGTTTTACAGAGAACTCATAACAGGCAAGTGCTCACACAGAGGCCAGAAGAAGGAATGTGGGGACACTCTCAAGGTCTCTCTGAATCAATTGAATTGGAATTAACGGGAGACATAGCAAAGGGCATCCAGTGTGGCGTGCCTGCATCAAAGAAGGCACTGTGCTCCATGAATGAAGCAGAATTGTAGTAGCCCAAAAGAAATGTGAGATGCACAAATTTAGAGACATCTCCATTCCAAATGGTTCATTTGGATTATTTGTGCTGGACCTGTGGTAGAGACTTCCAAGCTAGTATTTGTCTGATCAGCCATAGTCAGACACACTTTACCTTGTTTCCAACGTAGTGACGTTATTTTGGCCCTTTTTGAGAACAACAACCAACTCTTGTTTCTACCATTTTTTCCCCTTTACCCCCTAAATTTTAATACCTCTCTGCCTTTCTGTGTGTCGTCAGCTGGACATAGTTTTCTACACAGGAACACAAGATCTGAAAACATCTATCTAATTGACTGGAATCAGTTTTGTCAAGACCTGACACAAATCTCATCATACTAAGACCTCTGAAACACTTGACTGAAGAGAGGAAAAAACTCAAAGGGTCCCCTAGCTATTTTATCTGCTCTTGGACCCCATTTGTCTAATCAAACCACAAGCTGCCCTTTGTTAGTCTAACATCATCAGTTCTTGTTGGCCCTCAAATCTTTCTTTCCTCAGACCTTCCTTAGGAACCTATGTTATTATTCCAGACAGGAACAACTAAGGGAAATAGATATACAACGATTACACTAATGTAAATGAAAACAACAGTAGAAGGTTATTGAACTCAGCTTAGCAAATCTTGGCTCCAAAGGACAGCTGATAAAAACTTACCATCTGTAGAGAAGGCTATAGGGCCCAATTCTGTCAGACATAATTGGTAAGTGGGTTAGGTTTGCTAAACTTTTTCTTTGGGACATGAGAGTATTCTCTAGGGGAGAGACCCAAAAGGTCTGGGTTGTAAGAAACCAAACTGCATCATTAAGAAACAGAAGAAAAAAACAGACAAACCCTAATGAAGTAAGTTATATAACACATCATAATCATCAGCACTTACAAGAATTCCCTGTATTTCCCTGATGTCACGCTACTTAGAAAAATATCTGCCTTCGAACTCTTGCTAGACGACACAGTGAGCGGGACTCCACCTCTACCCTTAACTACCCCTTGGGCTCTTAGCTCCTCCCTCCCTCCACTTAATTGCTCCTCTATTCCTCGGGTCACCGACGACCGGAGGCAGGCTAGGGGTGGGCGAGCAGCGGGAAGAAGTAGGAGGGACAGGCAGCTGAAGCTGGGGTAGGGGAACTTTTCACTGTAATGATAGGAAGAGAATTGAGTGGGTCTTATCTTCCCATTCCGTGCTGGAAAACCTAAAGAACAGTTCTTCCCGTGGAAAACAGACATTGCTTGTCAGAGCCACCCCACTTAAAGAAGCCAGACTTCAGGGTTTTGTTTTTGTTTTTCTCGTGCTCAGGTAAGTCTCTTGGACCCTTATTTCTGCACCCAGTGGGTGCCGCAGCTGCCCACAGTACTAGACTCTCCTCGATCACTCTTCTCTCTCTGGCACCTCTTCTTGTTAGAAAAGGGATTTCTCTGGAATAGAAGTGGGGAGCAGGATAGCGCTGTTGTCTATGAGCTGCAGTGTTTTTTCGGAAGGAAGAAAACATGCTATGTGTGGTAGGTGTAGTGATTTGCTAAGCTACACTTGCCTAAATGCCAGAGATAGTGTGGACGCTCTTTCCTTGAAGGGGCGTTCAGCACTGGACATTAAAGAAAATATTTCCGTAGCTTCCCGGCTTCCTGACGTGCATTCCTCTGCTTGTGCTGGATTATTTTTCTCTTTCACTGGGCATTATTATTTTAACAATTACGTGACATCTGTGTTAGAGACAGTGAGGCTTGACTGACAGAAAATTGGCTTTGGAAGTCAGGATGAGCGAGTCCCTGTTTCTGAAACCAACTGGCTGCGTTACCCTGGGCAAGTCTTAGATCTGGGGCTGCCTGAGCTGGCTGTGCTATACCAATTAAATGACAAAAGGGGGAAAATCCCATGTGCAGAAGGTTTAGATCCTTAGAAACCGTGGTCTGGGATGGCGTGTGATTGGAGGGTGGAGTGGAATAGGACGGGGAGGAGGGGATCGGAGCAGAGCCGAGGAGAGAGAAGAAGCCAGGGAGAGAATAATAGCTTGAGTGGAGAAAGCTCTGGTGGACTCAATTACCGAAGGTGCTACTTTTTTTTGTGCCTCTTTCACGATTTGTCCAGGGACAACTCGTGGTTCTCCCTCTTGAAGGATGGTAAGAAGGCAAATTAAGATTAGGAGTGTTGCTATTGTGAAAATGGAGGGAGCTGATGGTGATGCAATGAAGACTTGTCAAGGTGCTGACATCTCCCTTATATAAGACCTGGGGAAATGCCATTCTTAGGGCACAGAGAGGGAGAGGAATGCTTCAGATCTTTTTCTTTGTAAGGGCTTGCTGGGGGACGGGGTAAAAGTCCGGGGGGAGGACAACTAGTCACAACTGGCCCCTTGGCGAGATAAAAATTCCAACAATCCACTCAAAACTCCTTTTCCCATTTCTCAAGTCTCAGTCTATGCCTGGACAATAGCATACAGAAGAATAAGGACGATAAGAAAAACAGATTTAAAGTTTTGCTGAGCGTTTTCCTCACGACCCGTGTGGTAGGTGAAAGGTGACAAATTGAATTGAAACATACCAAAAACACTGTATAGGAGTGACTTCCTAGAACATACCAGTGTCAGCTATTAAACGAAACTTAAAAAAAAAAAAGATCAGGAAATGGTTCCTTTTTTTTTTTTTTTTTGCCGTGAAGGCTAGTATTTGAGTACATTGCTTAGAACATGCAATAGCTAGAGAACAACACATGAGGTCAATTAATCAGCAAGCATTTATTAAGTGCCTGCTATGTGCCAGTATTGTGTCTGAGAAAGAAAAAAAAAAGAAAGAAGAAAGGAAGTGTTGCAGTCAAGGGGTGCTGGGAACCCCAAAATTCTAGGGCAAAAGGTACAAGTTCTGGACTCAAACCTTCTTTCAGTCAGAGGCAAGGTTTATTAAAACATCAGTTGGGGCGGGCAAGATTCCTAGTGAGCCTGCACTACTGACCAGATTTTAAGAATCTGAGCTATTTGTGGTGCTAATAACAAGCCAGCCAGACTCTTAAGGAATCTGAGCAATTGGTAGACAAGACTGGCCCCTTTTTATAGTGAAAAAGACTGTAGGAAGACCTGAATGTGATCAAAGAGTGGCCAATAGCTTGGGGTGACTGGGAGATAATAGAGAATAGGTCTAGATGGAATTTAGGGTTGGGGAAATAGTCTGGGGTGCTTCTAGGTGCAGACTATGACGGCCACAATGAAAGGGCAGTTAAAAGGATTATACTGGGATGGGCTGAGTGCCTCAGGCAAACACTAGAGACTTGATTCAGGGGCTTTGGGGTCCTTTTAGGGGTCCAGTGAGAATCCCCCCCCCCATCAGAAGGAAGGAAGGAAGGAAGGAAGGAAAAGATCCTACCCTCAAGCATTCTTTGGCAGTAAAGTGAAGTACATAGGGTGAGTGCAGAGGGAAAAACTAGCAAGAAACTAGGGTTCTCACAAAAGTGTGTCTTCTGATTGGACAAATGGATCAAGTTTTTATAACATTAGTAGAATGAAAACACCTTGAGAGGGTCTCGGGTTTTTGTTTGTTTGATTGTTTTGTCTCTTCTATGAAGTCTTTCCTGATTTTTGCAATTGTTGGCATACTCTCCCATTCAATTTTCCTTATACTGATTTGTGTACATATTGTGTCTCTCCACACTCCTCTCCTCCAAAAAAATCTTGAGGGCTAAGACTGCTTTGCCCCAGGACTTAGCTCAGTACCTGGCACAATGGGTACTTAATAAGTGTTTGTTGTTGAAGCACCCTGAAACACATTTTAAAAAAAGAAACACAGAGATTTCCCAGGAAGTTCTTTGTCTACGGCAAACCAAAACTGAAAATAGAATCCAATGGGGAAATCATTTCTTATTTACTTAGAAGGCTGGTATTTGAGGAAATTCAGGATTTAATTAGATCACCTGGAGCTTACTGGTTTCAAGATACTTAAGGAAGTTCCAGGTAATTCTGGGGCAGAGGCAGCAGTAGCAGAGGCAGGTACAATGGATAGAGCGTTAGACCTGGAGGCAGGAAGACCTGAATTAAAATTTGATCTAAGATACTTCTAGCTGTGTGACCCTGTGCAAGCCATTTAACCACTTTGTGCCTCAGTTTCCTCATCTGTAAAACAGAGATAAGAATAGCACTCACTCCCAGGGTTGCTATGAGGACCAAATGAGATGAAATTTGTAAAGCACTTAGCTCAGTGCCTGGCACATAGTAGGTTCTTCACAAATGTTTGTTTCTTTCCTCTGAGAGCTTTAAAAGCTGGTAGCACCAGTCTATTTGGGACATTTTTCTCAAAAATTTCCAGGGAAGTCCAAATTATTGCCTTCTTTTTCTCAGGGTGAATTTTCGTTCTACCTGAGATGGAATCTTTGACTGGTTTAAACCAGAGGTTGGCAGACCTTGAGAGGTTAGAGTCTTATCACTTATATAGTGGCTTGGTTCCTTCCCTTATTCAAGAGGCCTGAGGTTTTTCCCTAAGTTGTCAATTTTGGGGGTAGCAGCTATATTGGCCCATAATAACTTTCCTTGCCTCTGACTGCCTAAATCAACCAGTGCATGAATCCTCTCTGGATATAAGTCCAGCCATGGCTTCACATCTGCCATTCAAAATCAATTTGCTTTCAAACCCTGTCAGTTATTTGTTAAATGCGATTCTTTGGAGTATCATTAAACCCATTAGGCTTTTTAACAAGTCTATTGCTTTCCTTGACCTCAAGATATTCAATTTTTGTTCCTTAAATCACCATAAATATTATAATCCTTAAAGAACTTCTCTAATTCCTCCCAGTTGCTGATATTTCTCTCCCTTGGTTATACCAACTGTAGTCCCTTTTGCATTTCTTCCTGTTGAAATTCATTTCAATTCAATTCAGCAGTGCTAGGTGCTAAGGATGCAAAGTCAAAAACAAAAGATGATGGTGTGATGATAGAGTCAACAAGACTTGGTAATTAATTAGATTTGAGGGGGAAGGGAAAAGGGAAATGGATAGCTAGATGCTGCAGTGTATAGGACACCGGGCCTGGCATAAAGGAAGACTCATCTTCTTGAGTTCAAATCTGGCCTCAGACACCTATTAGCTATGTCACCCTTGGAAAATCACTTAACCTTGTTTGCTTCAGTTTCCTCATCTGTAAAATGAGCTGAAGAAGCAAATGGCAAACCACTCCAGTATCTTTGCCAAGAAAACTCTAAATGGGGTCACAAAGAGACAGACATGACTGAAAGATGACTGAACAACAGTGAAGAAGGGAAGGGATGAATGAGAATGATTGGAAGAATGATCGTGCCCTTCACAGAAATTGGGAACTTGTGAGGAGTGGGGAAAGGTAATGATTTCTGCTTTGGACATGTTGAATTTGAGATGTTATGAAACATTCAGCGGGAAATATCCAACAAGCAGTCAATGATGCAGGATTTGAGCTCAAGAGAGAAATGAGGTCTGAGAATCATCTCCTAGAGGTGCTCATTGAATCAAAGGAGAGTGTGGAAAGGGAAAAGAAGAGGGATCATAATAGAGCCTTGGGGTATACCCACACATAGCAGATGGGACATAGTTGATGAGTCTGAAAAAGACACTGAGAAGGAATGATGTGGGTAGAAGGAAAATGGGGAGTGATTAGTACCACAAGAGCCAGGGAATAGAAAGACCTAAAAGAATCAACAGTGTCAAATACAGTATGCAGATGTGGATAGAGTGCCAGGCCTGGGGACAGGAAGACCTGAGTTCAAATCTGGTCTCAGACACTTACTAGATGTGTGACCCTGGGCAAGTCACTTAACACTGTTTGCCTCAGTTTCCTCATCTATAAAATGAGCTGGAGAAGGAAATGGCAAACCACTCCAGTATCTCTGCCAAGAAAACCCCACATGGGGTCACAGAGATTCACCTGGATATGACTAAAAATGACTAAACAAATTACAGTAAAATAAGCAGGGGCAGCTAGGTGGTACAATGGATAGAGCACTGACCCTGAAATCAGGAGGACCCGAGTTAAAATCTGGCCTCAGACACTTACTATCTGTGTGACCTTGGGCAAGTCACTTAACCCTGATTGCCCCCCAAAAAAATGTCAGAGACAATAAAGAGATGCATGGTGACATGGAAAAGATGTTTTTAAAAAGTTTTAATCAAGTGGTGGAGATAGAAGTCAGATTTCAAGGGTCTGAAAAGTGAGTTTGAAGATAATAAAACAGAGACAATGAATCAGGAAACAAGGAGGCCAAATGGATAAAGTGTTGTTCTTGAAGTCAAGAAAACCTGGGTTTAAGTTCTATCTCAGATACTGTCTCAGTAACTGTCTATGTGATCCA